CTCTTTCCCAAGTGGTTGGTTATATTTAAAATGTGGGTATGAAGAGCATCTGGCTGTGGGCTCCCTTGGGGAAACAGAACAGTGCAGCAGTCTTAAGAGGAAGGACCCTCATCGGGCTGCTCAGCAGTGTCCGCAGACTGGCCAGTCATCTCTGTCTGTATTGATACTAACCTGATGCTTGCCTTGCCCTCCTAGGTGATCGACATCTCCATGATCCTTGCAGAAGCCATCAGGAGAACTCACAATGGGGAATCTGTCTCCTACCTGTTCAGCCATGTCCCTTTATAATAGAATAAGTTCTGAGGCTTTTAAAAAATAAAGTGAGTCCCGCCCCTTATTTTCCTTTGGTATTTGATGAAAAATCCAGCAGAAGACCCAACTTGTTACAGTGTAGCTTTCTACATCCCACATCAGGTATATGAGTGTTTCTCCTACATTAGAGAAAGATTGAGATTAACTGCTGGGATTTCCTACCTGTATTGTCTCGTCCTGGCTTCTTTGATCTTGTGAGCCTTGCAGCTTTAACTACAGCTCAGCTGCTACAAGATGTCAGACTTTGGAAAAAGTTGTGTAAGTGTGTCTGAATGTGTTTGGGGAAGCTCAGGCTACTTTGCATGTGAATGCTTCAGCGCCACCCCCCCACCTCCGAAATTGTGACGAGTTCTCTAAAGTCTGTACTAAATTCCAGCATGATCCTGGGGCAGCCTGAACCCAGCTCTGGTTGCTGAGCCCCTCTAAGGCTGGAACAGCTCTAGGGCAGGAGCCTGAGGGGAGGCAACCCACCATGCAACAAATGCTTCTTGGGAGGAAAAAGCCTGATCCATCACCCTTTGATTGGATTCTGTCACTTGGATTCTCCTTTGTCCCTGTTCCTTTCCATTTGGCCTGACCTTTTCTTTTCCTGGCCAAATATCAACTTGGTCCCAAGTGATCATTGTGCCATAGTCTTCTGGAAAGCAAACTCGCTTCCTACTATATAATCTATAACAATTTACATGAGACTATTTCGCTGTAGCTTAATCTTCCTTAGCCCACTACCACTGCGGTAGTAGGTTTTAGGTGGTGTTGTAGTGCCTTTTGATTAATTTAACTGTTTAATTGTCATCTTTCTTCCTTGGATCTATTTGACCTCTCAGATGACCTGAGATTTCTGTTAAAAAGATTGATGTCACTGTCTCCTGTAGAAGAAACTAATAAAGTTTCTGTTTGATTGTGGGTCTGTATCTGTACTGATCTCTCTGCCAAAGCTTTGCTTTAAGTGTCTTGGCTGCCCAATGATAGCTCTTACTTCTTTGTTTCCGAGCTATTAACTGCATTGAGTAGACACGGCAGCGGTTTTATTCAACTGTAAGACCTTAAGCTGTCTGGGGTTAACTAAGAACTAGATGTAGTGTAATTCTGTGCATTATACCTGAATTACAGGCTGTATAATGCCTGTTGGATCTCCAGTTCTTATTCCTGGTGCTAGGAATTAGGTATTTTCTCAGAGGAAGAGAGTAGTTTCTACAATTTATTCATTTTGAGCCAATTTTGCCAAATGTGGTAAGACTTCCCTCCATCAGTAGTTGACACACATTTAGCATTTAATTTCAGCCCTTCTAATTATAACACATTCCAAAATGTTAAGTGAGTTTCTTTTTGCATCGTCAAATAAGGACACTGACTTTTTGGGATGCTAAATGCTTCTGGAGCTTTGTGAAGAGTGCTCCCTTGTCTTTGAAGCCTGGTTCTGCTTTTGTTTTTGCTTTATGTTGAATATTGGGATATTTACAATGATCTTTTGAAAAAAGTGATTGAAAAGGGACTGAATTGAGCTATGAAGCGTGTTCTTTTGACCCTCTAGCCCTCTTTCACTTCAAGTCTTTGCTCTGGGAGAAGCTGACGTGGAGCACTTATGCTATAACTTGCTGATTCTGCTATTTCCTGAAGTATTGGGTCAGTTGATCAGCGCTTGCCATGTCAGAATATTTTGACATCAGACCTGTTACTCTGGGCCCCCTTGGGCAATCCAGTTCCTAGGATGAGGTTTTGAGGCCCTCAAGAAAGGCCCTCAGTCCCCATCTTTGATCCTTATGCCCGGGGGGAAGGTCAAGATTCAATTCCCTGTGACACCCAGTAAAGTACCCTAAGTACCACTGAGGCCGTTCTTTTTCTCTCCAGTGGGAGAGACCCAAGTGTGCTGGATGGCAAGTGATTCTTGACTTGAGAACTGTAGCAGGAACAGACCTGGAGGGGCCGGGGAGGAGGCACAAAAGCTGGAGTTGCAGGGAGAGCACAGTTGAAAGGAAATAGCTATGTAACTGCTTCTGAGCAAAAGGCATCACCAGGTTCGATTTCCCATATGCCCTAACCTCCCCTTACCCTCAGAACTGGAGAAAAGGAGATTCCTTGGACCAAGGCTGAGCTGGGCAACCCTCAAACCTAATGCCTTTATTAGAGGTTTCTTTCACCTCAAGTTGGAGCTTTCCACGTTTGGAATAAAAGCGTTTTCTGCTCAAGAGTTTACTTAGCTTGCCCATTAATAGCATGTAGCCCTTAACCTGAGGGTTATTAGAATCATGGAAAACTTGAAATTTTAAAAAGAGAAACGTTGTCTCCCCTATTGACCTGCCCTCCTACCAACCTCCCTCTTAACTAGCTCTTGGGTCGGGGGGAGGGGGGGAGGCCTCCGAAAAGGAGTCAGGTTATTGGTGGCACCTCCCCAGCAACTTTTAAGGTAAGGACGGGGGAAGAAAGCTCCGCACTGCCGCCCCGGGGCCCACCACTCGGACTGGAGACCACTGAGTGGGTATGTGCCCAGTTTGCAAAAAGAGCCATTACGTTCAGTCAGGAAGTAGAGCCAGCCCCCAGCCTCGCCTTAGTCTGCACCTCCAGCCTTGAGGCGGCTGGCTGTTCAGTTGATTGGCTCCTGCAGCACTGAGCCCCAGTCTCCTCTGCTTCTGGTTTTCCCTTGCCCTGCCTATGCCGGGGATTCACTTCCATTACCCTGACAAGGCCTTTTGCGACCAGTGCATTACAGAACCAAAAGAGATTATAGGAGGGCCCTGTGTCTTTGGAGTCCTCTACAGAGGCCAGAGAATCCCGCCACCCCGGAACACGAGGTAACTGAGGTCACCAGGGTCATCTGTGCTGCCCTCCTCTCAGAGCTGCAAATGGGAGAGGGGGGGATTGGAATTCACACAGCCATATGGTGGGAACACACTGAAGTTAATTCACACCTCATTTCCAGGCTGAGGCTTGACCGATCATGTGCCTGTTAGTCATTTGCTGCCTCTTGCCAACAGCCGGCAACAGTAAGGCTGTTCTAAAAGTCTCAGCCTTTTGCACGTGCTTATCCAAAAGCACACTCGGTGGTGTCCCTCCCCTCAGAAGCAGTCATTGGCCCCTGGACACTCCTGCCTGAAACAGGTTCTGTCTTGACGGTCATGGTTGAAAGGCAATGGAGCTACAGCTAAAGACTCCCCCTGCTGCTGTATTCTTTCGCCAGGTTTTGAAGCCTGTTTTTTCTCTTGTAGATCTTTTTTGGCGAGTCTCACACTCCTTGTTTAAGAATAAAGCAAATTCTCCAAGTTATGACAGATGAGGCTTGATGTTCCACAGAATCTTGCTTGGTTCAAATATTTCTTCTAAATCACCTTTTCCAAAGTCTTGGCCGGACAGCAGCAAGGGAGCTAAGACGTTAACGGGCATATTCAGATCCCTTGTACTAAACACACGTCGGGGTTAGGATCCATCAGGCCTTGCCATTGGTTCTCAGGTTGCTCTTCTGGGATGTTTCTGCCGGGGCAGGTGATGTTAGCTGCCTCAGAAGAAAACCTTTGTGCTGTCAAGAAAAACCTGTGTCAGGAAAACTATTTCAGGGAGAAGATTGAATGTGAGGCCAGATGTTAGTTTTCAAATCTCAAGGAAATTCCAGTGTAAAGTCAGTTTCTGAGGGTTTGCCTTAAGTCTGGTCACCAGAAGACTGACCTATGGTCACATTTGGTACATTTGCACGGGGGTGAGCTCACTGTTTCTTTGGGTTGGGGGAGCATGCCACCCAGCTTGTGAGATGATAGTTCCCCAACCAGGGATTGAACCCATGCCCCAGCACTGAAACTGCCGAGTCCTAACCACTGGACCGCCAGGAATCCCCGTGAGTGTATATTAATGAGAAGCGTTGAAATGGAGGGTGAGGGATACCGAGGGTAATATGAAGAAGCAGCGATGGTTCTTTCCTTAAAGCTTTCAGGAAGTTGAATTGGCCCCAGAAGACCCGTGGTAATGATGGTTGAGTAGCTGCTCTACGCGGCCTCTAAGATTGCAAAGGTAAAGGGTTTGCAGGGACTGGACAGGTCCCCACTGCCTCACCCTTCCTGAGGCTGCTTTCCTGTCTCAGCACTGAGGGCCTGGCCACCACCTTCCATCCCTCCTCCCCCGCTCTCCTGTCTGGATGCCCTTAGCCTTTGATGTTCCTAAGGACATTGATCTTGCCATGAAGTTCCTTAGGCCCTCTGTTCTTGAGCGTGTTCCCTTGGTTTTTAGCTTGCAGCGTGAAAGGGAAGGAGACACAGAGCGGCAGGGTAACTTTTTCCATCCCAACCCTTGGTAAACTTACCCGCCCCAGAGCCTCAGAAACCTGGCTGGCTCCTCTTCCAGCCAAGTCCACGTGGTGTGATCCTCTTTGCTGCTGACCTGTTGTACGCCCCTTGGTGACAGCTCACTGTCCCCACCCCATGTCTGGAGGGACACCAAAGCCAGCCACCAGAGTCGGACTCTTCCCCATCTTTCCCTTTCTCCAAGCTCTTTTCACCAGTACGTTTCTCCAAAAGCTCAGTGGCCAACTATAAAATTAAAAACAGGGAGGGGAAGGCTCCTTCTGAAGCAAAAATGTCTGAAGCCCTGCAGAGTGACAAGAGGCCTTTCTCCCATTCCTCTCCATCCTGCTTTGTTTTTTCAAATGGCTCAATTCTATATTCTCCAAGTTCACCTCCACACTTGGCGTGTCCACTTGCCGCTGCAGCCGGGTCTTATTGCTTCTTCACCCATAACAGTTGCCATGAGCTCACTCACATCTTGGGGTTTTGATTCAGGGTAAGCCCCCTACCTACGGACAAGTTCTGTTCCAAGAGCGTGTTTGTAAGTCCAACAAAGTTAGCCTAGGTACCCAACTAACACAATCGGCTATATAGTACTGTACTGTAATAGGTTTATAATACTTTTCAGACAAATAATGTACAAAAAACAAACACAAAAAATAAAGAAAACATTTTTAATCTTACAGGACAGTACCTTGAAAAGTACAGTAGTACAGTACAACAGCTGACATACAGGGGCTGGCATCGAGTGAACAAGCAAGAAGAGTTACTGACTGGAGGAGGGAGGGGAGGTGGGAGATGGTAGAGCTGAAGGATCGTCAGCAACAGGAGACGGAGGGCAAGCTGCAGCTTCACTCACACCTGACGTGGATGGCACAGGTTCTGGTTCCTTGCTGGATTCAATTCTATCTACCCTCTTGAAAAAATGATCCAGTGATGTCTGGGTAGTACTGTACCAGCTACATCACTGCTGCTTTTACACTTCTTCCAGACACCCTGGGCTTGAAATAAAGATACTGTACTACTGTACTCTATACAGTACTGTACAGTAAAG